CCAATAAATTTCTATATATGATAATAATAATTATTATAAGAAAATAAATATGATATTTTCGTGTTTTACATACTCGCAAATAGCTGTTTCTGGTATTATTTGTAGATACACTAAATTATGAGCTATTATTTCTTCACTATATAAAAATTTTTAGCTTGCCAAACCCATTGAGACTAAGTTGCAACGTCTTTGCTGATTTTATGAGTGTCCATCCATCTATGTCTGGGGCGACTCTGGGTCTTCATTAGAAGAATAGTTGATATAGGATATATTTTTGAACAAATTAAAAAAATTCGTCATATTGGTGGTACCGACTGTACTTTTATTGACATGAAATTTATGTCTGAAATCAGGAACGGGTATGCGTCGATTTTTAAATTTCAATGTAAAATATGCAACATTGAAAATCTAATTTATTCAGAAAATCCTAAGGAAATATACATACCAATTAATAAAAGTTTAGTGAACGGTAGTATAGCAGTAGGTATGGTAGTTTTAATTTTCCATAACTATAATATAATTTAATAGTTAAATTAAAATTATATATTTTCACACACAACATTGTACAATTAAGGAATTGGATATGCACAGTTAGCAGAACTTTCCGTGTCAATTGAAGTACCTAGTATGTGCAATAAAACATACATAAAAATTCAAAATTATATTAATTTAGCGGTACAAAAAACTGCATGGAGTGAAATGAAACAGGCTGGTGATGAAGAAAGAGAGATAGCGTTAAAAAATAAGGAAGTAGATGTAGATGGTACTCCTATGTGTACAGTTATCGCTGATGGCCAATGGTCTAAGCGAAGTTATAAGTCCAAGTACAATGCTTTATCAGGAACAGTATGCAATTATTAATTATTTATATTTCTAATATAAAATATTTTTATAACCTTTTTTTATATTAAAATATATAGGCCACTATTATTGGGAAAAGAACAGGAAAAGTTTTATTTGTAGGTGTAAGAAATAGATATTGTGCTATTTGTCAAAGGGCATCATCGCATAATGAAAAAGCATCTGAACATGTTTGTTTTCTAAATTGGAGAAAAGCATCAACTGCAATGGAGGCAGATGGAATAGTTGAAGGATTTTCCCGTAGTGTTGAAATGCATGGGCTCAAGTATAATAAATTAATAGGTAAATATGAAAAAAAAATTTATTTTAATATAATATTTTAGAATTTAATATTTATACGCTATTTATGTTTATATAGGAGATGGTGATAGTAGTGTTTTAAAGAAACTCAATGAAGTCTTACCGTATGGATCTGAGTTTGTCATAGATAAAATAGAATGCCGAAATCACCTATTACGAAATTTCAGTCAAAAAATTACCGCTTTAGCAAATAAAACTGAGTTTCCTATTAATTTACGAAAATTCATTTTATCTAAAATAATGCGATTTCGTTCGGACGTAACAAAAGCTATACAATATAGAAATAATCAAGACACGCCTATGTCGCAAAGAATTACGGGTATTTAATACTGTACCTATATTTAGTTTTATATGTAAAACTAAATAATATTTTCAGATAAAAATTTTAATTATATATACTGTTAATTTTAGATCTTCAATTGGATATTTCAAATAGTATATATCATAGACTCGGTCAACACACAAAATGTGCTAATTATTTTTGTGTAGGGCAAAAAGAAAATGAAACTAATTTAGTACCACAAGCGGAAAACTGTGGATTGATGCGAGAAATGGATCAAATCATTTTTCGCCTAACCAAAAATGCAAATAGTCTTTTATTAGATGTAGACAATAATCCATGTGAAGTATTTAATAGCGTTATAAATAAATATATCGGTGGAAAAAGGATTAATTTTTCGCAAAAAAATTCATACAATACACGAGTGGAAGCTGCAGTGATTGCTTTTAATTCAAAACAATACTTGAGAAAAGTTCATAAAACAATACAAAATTCAAGTCCAGGTATAATATATTCATGATAATTTATAATACAAAAATATATTATATTTAAATTAAAATATATTCATAAAAATTGTGTACTTATAAATTTGTTGTAGGGAAATTTGGTAAAAAATATTTAAAAAACATAGAACGTTTACGAAATAATAATACAAAAAGACGTCAATTGTTTTCTAAAAATACTAAATACAAAATTATAAGCCGATCTCAATCTACTGATGCAGATCAATATTATGGATTGGCTGAAGAATTAGTCGATACAATGACTAAAGAAGACTTCGATATGAAAAAAATGGAATTTATTAAAAAATTAAATGAAGCTGATAGAACCAATATAGAAATTAATACAAGAAATCAAAGTAATAATTCTCTTTGGTTCAAAGAAAGAAAAAAACGTCTCACTGCTTCAAATTTCGGGATAATATGTAAAATGCGACCATACACTAGCTGTAAGAAAAAAATTCATATTTTACTTTATGCATCAAATCCCAAATCAAAGCAATTAAACTATGGTCAGGTTATGGAAGCAAAAGCTCGGACTAAATTTGAGGAAATGTTTAATTTAAAAGTTCACACATGTGGTTTAATTGTAGATCGTGATCTCCCATATTTAGCAGCCAGTCCGGGTAAATATTAATTATTTTATATAGGTTTTATATAATTTAATTTTTTTATTCAGTTTTGTATTTGGTTGTTAATTTTACAGATGGTTTAGTTGGAGATAATGCCATAGTTGAGATAAAGTGCCCTTATATGGCTCGTCAATCAGAAAGTCCTGGCATAGCTATAAATAATAAACTTGTAAGTATTTATAAAAAAATTCAATTTAATAAACCCCATATTTTTATATAAAATTAATAATTAAAATACTATTTATTTATATATTTTTATTACCAAGTATTTAAAATATTATAATAAAAAATAAATGAATAAACAAATGTTTATAATAATATTATGTACTCGTATATATTATATAATATAATATATATATATTATTTTAAAATTTAAATAACTATTTTATATTTACGTCATGATTTGTAAGTTATAACTTATAACGTATAAGATAAATTATAAATTATAATTTATAGCTCCAAAATTGGTCAATGAATAACTCAGGGACGATCGAATTAAAACATAATAGTAATTATTACTATCAAGTAATCGGACAATTACATATTACACAACGAGAAATATGCTATGTTGTCGTGTATACTGAAAATTGGACATCCGTTGAAAAAATTGTGTATGATCATAAATTTTGGATGGAAGAAATGTCCAAGAAATTATCATTGTAAGTATTGTTGAAGTACAAAAAATTATCTACTAATTAAAATTATAAAAAAAACATTTTTGTTTTAGGTTTTATTTAAATTGTCTTTTACCTGAACTTATTAACCCATTATATGGAAAACGTTTATTAATAAATGATATAAAAGATTCAAATTATATTTTAGAAAATCAAGCAGAAAGGTTTAAAATGTTATCATTGAAAAAAAAAACAATTTCTTAAAAATTAAATAATTATTTTCAAATTATAAAAATTGTAATTATATACCTATATTATATATATTATGTTGTATTTTTATATAAAATGTATTTACGACTTCCTCGAAGTCAAATTTAAAATGATGAAGTTTTTAACCCTATTCCATTAATTATAACAATATTACAGTCCAGAAAAGAAGGTAAGACAGAAAATTTGACTGTATTTTATACATTTATAATTTATAATTATTTATTATTTATATAGTATAATAATAATTAGTTTGTCAACGAGTGTGTGTTATGAATTATTTATTATTATTTATTTAACTACTACAAAACTAATACTTCGATATATTTAGGTAATATTATAAATTAGGTAATATTTACTGTATTATAAATATTTTATGAAGTAAGTATCTAATAATGTATTAAATACAAATTGCATAGGTACCCGTGGATATTAAAAATATTACAGCTGCCTATACCCGTTTACGTGTATATTTACGAGCGATCAGTCATAAACGAAGGTTCAAATTATAATAACATCGCTCCCGAACAAACACTATCGTCGGCCGGACGCCGACTCTAGTAGTGGGCGTGGTTAAAACGTCGCGTGCTTGCGGATCGCGAAAACACCTAACAGCGCATTCTCTTGGCCGTTGCATACGTTTCACTTTTGGTATAGCGTCCTCTTAACTATAAACTTAGTTGAGGCTGTGGAAAAATATCCGTGTTTATATAATTACATATTACCAGAATACGCCAGAAAAGATTTAACAGAAAAGGCATGGTCAAAAGTTGCAGAAGAAGTTAAAGAAACAGGTAATACTATTTATTATTAATTCATATTATTTATGTAACATAATATGTTATATTATGGTATAAAGTAAATGCTAAAAATAAAATAAGAACAATGTACTAATATTAAAAATTCTACCACCCTACCCCAACACATCCAGAACATTCGACAACTAATATTATCGGTCATCGATATTAGGTATAGTATTTTGTTTTTAACAAATAGGTATATATGAATTATATTTATTTATCGTATTAAGTAGATATGAAAACAAGTTATGCAGTTTACCGTATTAATAAATACAAAATAATATACAATAGCTAAATAATACAAATAATAATTAATAATAATATGCATTTAAATACACTTTCATATAGGTACTTATTTCAAAACAAATTTAAAAGAAAATTATTATCAAATATTTAGACCATAATATTAATAATTATACACACTTATTCCACTGCCATGGCAGCGATGCATAAGGCTTAACAAAATATGAAGACAAATAATCTCTCATATCACTCGCCGCTTGTGTTCTCAGCAACTCATTTTTATCGTCGTTGTCTCTGAGAAACTCAACTGGTATTTGAACGTCTTCTGGACAGTTTTCATCAAAATCAACGGAAGGTATATACTGTCGACCTTCCCTTTTACGTATAAAATTGTGGAGAATACATACTGATCTTATTATATTGTTAATAGTAGTTTCGTTATTACATCGTATTGGTGATAATAGTACTTGAAATTTTTGTGAAATCATACCAAATGAACACTCAACAGTTTTTCTACCTCTACTGAGTCTGTAGTTAAATATTCATTTTTTATTTGTTAAAGTTCTCTGTGGGTATGGTCTCATTAAATTTTTTTTCAAAGGGAATCCTTCGTCAGCTACAAAATAATAAGGAAAACAAATGTCGTTAGGGTCATTAGGCAATGGTTTAGGATGTGGCATATTTAAACCATTTCTTTCAAGCCACCGACCCAGTCTTGATGCTCGAAAGATACCTCCATCGCTATTTCTACCAGCGAAACCAGTTTCTATCATAATAAAATTTCCATCTGCATCACTGCAAGCCATTAAAACAATTGAATGGTATGATTTATAATTAAAATTAATGGATCCTGTATTAGGGAGTTTTTGTATTCTTATGTGTTTCCCATCTATTGAACCTAAGCAATTTGGTAAATTCCATAATCTATTATACTGATTTGCTATACACATCCACTGTTCTTCGGTTGGTATAGGCATGTATTCATTAAATAAACACTCCCATATTTTTTGAGTAGATTCTGAAATTATTTTACCGATTGTGTTGGCACCTCGAGCAAAATAAAATGATAGGCTGGAATAAGTGCAGCCCGTCGCCAAATATCTAATAAAAAATAGTTTTTAGGTAATTTTCTATTTATGTATATGTATATTTCAATAATTTATTATTTTTGTATTATTTTATTTTTAGTTTCATTGTGTAAAGAAAAATGGAAAAATTTAAGAGCTGTATTTGTCAGGAATATGAAACCAGCACCTAGTGGATCTTCTAGAAAAGCAAAGCCATATTATTTGAATGAATATTTACAATTTCTTTTACCATATGTAAAACCCAACACTGATATAACTAATCCGGGAAATCTTCCTTCTCCGACCTCAGATAATGAAATTACATTTGAAAATAATGAACAAAGCGATACTGAAGTCCAAGATGAAGATATTATACAACAAGAAGAATATTTAACCGATAAAATTATAAACATTGAAAAACCAAACAATGAAAAAGGTCGTCTTCCTCTTGTACAGGAACGTAACCAAGGAAAAGGTAACAAAAAGAAACGAAAATTAGATGTTAGCGAAGTAGACCAGTCCTTTATTGATTTCGTGAATATGAAGAAGAAAAAGTCCTGTGAAACTGATCCAAGAAAGATGTTTCTTCTTAGTCTGTTACCAGATATTAAGAACATGACTGATCAACAAATGAGAATGTTTAAAAAAAAAGTATTGGATTTGGTCGATGACATTTTAACTGAAAATCCGACTTCTCAACACCAATTACCAATAACCATGTTCAATCCATCTCGTCCTCCGACTAAATCTTCAACTTTCTCAAGTTCATCATTATATTCTTATAACCACTCAAATAGTTTCACGCCAATCCATTCTCCTGAAGAATCATATGTGGCAGCTGAAGTTAGCAACCAGAACGAAAATGTTTGTCAAGATTTCATAAATATGTAAAAATGTATATCGTATATGTAATAAATTACAAGGAGTATACTACCTATTATATTAAATTAAATATTAAATAATATACGAGTCATAATAATTATTTATTTTATTTATATTAGTATAATTATTTTTATGTTAGTAAAAGTTAAGCCATTACCTCATTGTTATTAGTAGTCTTTCACGTACACAAATACAACGGCGGAAATGTGTGTCTTGTTTTTCAATTTCTGGTCCCACTTTTTCCACAAGTAAGTTAAAACTTTCTTTCGACATTCGATAAAAAGATTGAAATTTAACGTCATCTTGTATTAATTCATTTGCGGCAACAAAAATACGACAATTAATATTATTCTGTATATATGGATGTACCCAATATCTCCTTTTAGTTTTTCGTTTCTTGTGGTTTTGATAATACCAGTATAATGCAATGGCATCGTCATCTTCAGAGGACGACATGTTTGCAACTGACCAATTTTAGATGTTGAAACATCGTCTATAGTGTGCAGAACTCACGAAATCAGATCGTACGATTTTTTGCTAGGCAACTATTTTTTTTAGTCGCGTCAACGTCGCGTCGCCTTAGTGGGAGGACGGCCTTAATACGACAGGTAGTGTATGAATAGACGCCGTCGTATTCAGTGTGTTGTCTGCGTTTATATGTACGTGTATATTCTGTGTAAAAATTTTTATTTTTCGTGTTACAATGAACAAACGACGTGATTTAAGTGTGAAAGAAAAATTAGATGTTCTTAAAAAATATGACGAGCTCCCGAAAATGAGCCAGCGACAAGCAGCATGTAAGTTAAACTTGTCTCAAAGTTTACTAGGTAGGATGCTGAAAAGTCGACAGGAAATCGAGGGAAATGCATTAGAAAATGTGAATTCAAACCGTAAAAGAAAAAGGGCCGGTAAAGAAGAAGAAGTTGAAGAAGCTTTGGAACAATGGTTCATAAAAGTCAGAGAAAAAGACGCCCGAGTTACAGGACCACTGTTGCGACAAAAAAGCCGAAGATCTCGCGAAAAAAATGGGTAAAGATGATTTTGTAGCAACAGAAGGTTGGTTTCACCGATGGAAGAAACGCGAAAACATTTCATTCGTTAAGCCACATGGAGAACAGGGAGAAGCAGACCAAGTAGCTGCACGGTCGTGGATTAATTCAGAATGACCATCTCTTATCGCCAAATATCCTCCGTCTTGTGTGTTCAATGCGGATGAAACTGGGCTTTATTTCAGGGCATTACCTGAGCACACTTATGCGTTTAAAAATGAAAAAACTAGAGGAACTATAACTAGTAAAGAACGTCTAACCATATTATGTTGTGCAAGTATGGATGGTGAAAAAAGAAAACTGCTCGCGATTGGTAAAAGTAAAGATCCCCGGTGTTTCAAGGGTGTTAAGAATCTACCGGTAGACTATCTGCAAACAGTAATGCATGGATGACAAAAGAAATTTTCACCGAATGGTTGACCAAGTGGGACAATGAACTTCGTCATGACGTTTTATTGCTAGTCGATAATTGCATGGCTCATGTGGTTACAGTGAAATTCAAACATATTAACCTCGTATTTTTACCCTCTAACACTACATCAATCATACAACCGTGTGATCAAGGGATTATACGCACTTTTAAAGCTTATTACAGAACAGGCATGAGAAAGAATGTGATCAGTGTGATTGATGCTAACCTGGAACAAGAATTATGTACCTTACGTGCTCATGAAATCGCCAAAAAAATAACTGTACTTGTAGGTTTGCATTTAGCCTACGAAGCGTGGAATATGGTCAGTAAAATCACAATACGTAATTGTTTCCGACACGGTGGTTTCATTCTCTGTCCAAAAGAAGTTGAAGCTGCTGTCGAGAGACCCACTGACCTATCAACTGAACTTTATAATGAATGGATAAATATTGACGAAGAAGTCCAAACTACCGAACTCGTTACCGAGGAAGATATATGTGGGGAAATACAGTCAAAACGGTTTAAAGAGAATATGGTTGGTAATAGCGACGAAGAGGAACCTGATGAGAAACCACCATCAACTAAAGAAATGCTAGAAGCGCTTCAAATTTTACGTAGAGGGATTCAGCAAAGAGGCGATTTTGACATATTCGAGAAACATAAATCTTATGAAGATATGATTATGAAGTTGGCCGAAGAAGCGAAAATCCAATCAACATTAGACGTATTCTTATCAAAAAATTAATTCATTTTATTAATTATGTATGTATGTATTTTATTTTATTTTATATGGCTAGATTTTTACATTTTTTATACCTTGAATTTCAATACATATTTTTTAATTTTTAATTTTTTAAATTTAAGCATTCTTAAAATTTTTTGAGTCATTCGCCTTATTGACTCATTCGATTAATTGACTCAAATTGTCGGGTCCCAAAGTGAGTCCAATAAGCGGCGACTACTGTATATTTAAATTTTTAGTTCTAGTATCAATTTGTAATTTATAATTAAAATAGGTACATTTAAAGTTGTAACTAGATAAAACATTATTTTTAAATAATAAAATAAGTATTCTATAATAAAATTAATAATTATAAAATTTTTTATTTTTATTACAATAGATAATTTTTATTTGAATTTTTTTACTTACCTGTTTTCATTAGACGCACAGCTGCATGTTCTCTATAAGAAACTCCTTGTTCTACTATACGTAATAACGCTTTTTCAATAATAGGACCAATCATACGTCGTTTTTTTTGTAACTTGATGTGGTTCATTGAAATTCCCAACATATATACATTGCATTAATACTCTATAATAATTAATAGTATAGTTATTAATATTTATTTTTTACTTAAAAGTTAAAATTACCTTGCATTTTCCGGTGGTTTATCTGCAACTATTCCTTTAAAATGAGATTCGCAAACAGAACACCGCCCAACCACAGACACATAGTTGTCACCATTTGATGACACTTTCGTTCGACGAAACGAAAGGCAACATGGTAATTGGGTGTGAATCCAAAAATGTTCCGCTATTAACGGTGTCCATGTGTTTTTGGGTAAGACTTCGTACAATTTAAAACGCTGATTAGGACGTTTTTTATCAACAATATTATATTTTACTCTTTGGGGCTGTAATGTCTCCCATTCGTCAACAGAAAATGTTATTACAAATTTTTTAATTTCAAAATTATAATTAGTATCAATCTCATCAATAGACTCAGAATCTATATACAGAGTAAGTTAATTTAATTTAAAATGTATAAAATTTACAAATTAAAATTTAATGAAAATTAAACTAACCATCACTATCGTTTAAATTACTGGGTATATTATTTTCAAGTGGCATTACATTTGGTATTTTGTTCGGGGAAAATCCAAGTTTTTCTTTAATGCCGTGATATCCTTTATAAACAAACACATGCAGAGCATTTTTGGATATACGATTATTTAATTCCGAACTAATATCTTGCCATACACGGTTTGAAGCTACAACCACTTCTAACAATAAATACAACAATAAACTTAATTTAGTTAAAAAATATTATTAACAGCATTATTGAGTATACGTCATTTGATCGCGGTAATTTCGTATAGCGTCAATTTGACGCTATCATTCACGATTTTAAAGCCGCGTACGAGACATTGTCGAGTGTAATTTCAAAATAGATACATTTGATCACTCCTAAATTTGTCGCATAAATGCATAAACAATTTAATATGTATAAAATATTATATTTGTTTTAAAAATTAAAAATACATATTATAAGTGGGGTACTTGTCACAACTGGAATATTAACTATTTATAAAAAGTAAAATTAAATAAATATATAGATTAGCTTACATACAAAAACAAAACTATTATTATTTACAAAAAGTAAAATTATAAATAACACTAATTAAAATTTACTTAATTTTTTCTCCATTATTTTCTGTAATTACTCTATCCTTAAATTTGAGTATAATACTTATAATTTCTGCAGGGCAAATAGTTGGTTTTCGGCCTCTCATTTTAAATTTAACAATAAATTATAATAAAACAATAAAATATCAAATAAATTGAAAATAACTTTAAAAAAAAACACTAAAAATCAATTATTGGAAATTAGTAACACAAATTAGTTCAATGAGATACCTAATATTATTACATACGACACTCGGGATAGTAAGAACTGAAATGGGAATGATTATTGAAAAAAATATTAAATGTCTGTATAACAATATCAAAAATAGTACTATTAATATCGATAAATACAATATAATATAATATATGTACATAATATGGTATACAATAGTATTGTTCGTGCAAGTTATCGAGTGCGATAACTCCAAATAGATTTTATTGCCGCCCTAATCGCGACTCCTTTCCTCTGGGGTCGATGGCCCTATTATATGCTATTTTGAAATCGATTGCCCGACAGTAAAAACGGATTAGTAGGTCAACGGCCCTCACAATCACATATCTTTACGAAATTATAACAGCCGTAAAGATTACGTACAGATATTGGCCTATCTCAGGTGATATAGGGTCATTGGCCACTAATTTCGGATAGCATATTTTTTGGTGTTGTCGGAGACACCGGCATGAAGAATAGTGACTCCTCCTCCGTGCGACTTTGAAATTCCCCTTTTAAATACAAAAATAATTGTAAATATAAGTTATAATAATAAATTAATTTAAATTGACTGTAATCAAAAATATAATTGTGAAAACTATTATGTATAGGTACTAAGCACTATAACATATTATTAACATAATGATTAATAAAAACATTTAAATGAGATAAACATTTATTTGATTATTTCTACTATTGTATTGATGCGAGATGTCACTTGAAATACTACAACAAATTGAACAGACAATTTATCGCATGAAATACATTGTTCTGCATGATAAGCACATTTTCAAATGCATATATAATAATTTCAAGTTTAATCTAACAAACACTATATATTCATAACTCTTCAAGAAGCCTTAGTTTTTAGCCACTACTGGATGATAGTCATAAATTCATGTAAAATCTGTACTACAATACGTAACTGAACGAAGTACGGT